GATAGATAGATAGATAGATAGATAGATAGATAGATAGATAGATAGATAGATAGATAGATAGATAGATTAAATGTATGCATTCAATTCTGTCTAATAAGAATGTTCTGTTGGTCAGAAAAAATACTGTAAAATGCATTTCTACAGAAAGTAATCAGAGAGATGTGGTTTGATTATATGGCACAACRGCCTGCCACACTGGCCGCGCCCACTTCTTTTAGAGAAAACTGCGCGTGCTGCAGCGTCACTCACAACGCCTTCGAGCCAGCCTGYGTGTAAATAGTGTTTTTCTCTGGACGCTGCTGCTCCGCTGCACACACTTTTATCGCATTTAGTTGATATTTTCTTTGTTCTCGATCATGGAAAACCCAAACGAAGCAGTTGCAATGAAAGAGTCCAAACGACGAGAGCGTCAACCTGGAATCGGTGAGGTTTGCTCGCTATTTATCCTCGATTATGTTGTAAATTCCGCAGTGAGTGAGTTTATTCTGGTTGTTTACTTTCCGTTTTTAGAGGAAAAAACAAGTCGTGTGTGCAATTAAATAGAAATAACGCCTTAAACTATCAGAATAAAAAGTGGCTTCGAGCATTAGCTCGTAGCAACGAATTCCTCGCGACATCAACTTAACGTGTATTTTTCTTTCTTTTCGTTAAGAAAACAAGATTTTACTGCTCACTTTTAGATTGTTTGGGTGTGTTGTGTTTATTTAAACAAAAAAATTAAAAGGCACTAGCTTGGGGGCATTATGTGTGGGGTTAAATCGAAGTTTTCGTGTATTTTATACAGCAAAAAACAATAAAACGAATAAAAAGCTAACGGGACTAGTATTAGCTTGTCACGCCCCCTTCATATTTATTACGTTGTGACGTCATTACGTAGGTCTGGACAGAAATGGACAACCAATTAGAAAGATTGATTACCAACCAGTTCTGCTGTGTAGGGCTCAACCTTCTATGTGTAAAAGAAATTAACAATAAAATAATAACATTGTTTAAAACAAGAGCTTAACTAAGATTTTTTTGATTAAAAAAATAAAAAAGTAGGTAGAGTTCAAATTGTGTGCCTTTTTATTAAATACTGCCAACCAGGTAAAGTCTTAGGACTCAATTTAACAATTAAAAAAGTGGTTATTTTTCATGCCTCACTTGTTTGGTGGTGATTTTATCTAAGAAATAAATACGATTTATTAATACCATTATGCATTTCTCTCCTTTTCCTGTTTTCCACACGCACTTCCTCACCACCACTTTAGATGAGTGCTGAAATAAACCTCATTTTAGCTCATTAGTAAAGTGTTTATCGACCTTATTGACTGTTTGATATGTGCCTGATTCTTATTTCACTTCTAACTTCGTCTGTAGGTCCAGGCGAGTACACAATACATGATATTAAAGGTATGGGTCTATCTTAGCTAGTACCTTTTATAATCAATAACAAATATGACTGCCTGAGTGAAGCCTAACATTAGAGCACTAAAGAAGTACAGTAAGATAAAGTGTTTGGAGTGAACATTAAACCTCACTAATATAATAAATAACAAGAAACTGCGAACACTAACAGGACATGATACTGTGATAAATATATTTCACCTCATATGTTTCGTCCCTCAGCTCTGGAGAATGCAGACTCTACAATCGGCCTGTGTGGGTGGCTGCTGGTTTTCCTCTCCCTCCTCCTGGTGATCGTCACCCTGCCCATCTCCATCTGGATGTGCATCAAGGTCCGCTGATGGTCAAACCCAAGTTTCCTTTACTGCTCATGAAGCAAATCTGAAGGATAAACTCTGTAAATAAATACCTGTTTAGTTTAGCAGGAGTTGGGCAGTTTGTTTTCATAGTTATGTTGTGATTCCCTGCAGATTGTGAAGGAGTATGAGCGAGCCATCATCTTCCGTCTCGGGCGCATTTTACGAGGAGGAGCCAAAGGACCAGGTGAGATTTTAAAAAAATTAACTTATTTTTGTTGCTGCTTCAGAATCTTTTCACTTGGCAACTTAAAGGATCTCTGACTACTGTCACATGTTGGCCTTAATATCTTGTTTGTGACGTGTAAAAACTCACAATTACATAAAATACTGTTTATGTTTTACATTTTTCACTTAAACTTGTAACCATTAAGATACAATGCATTTTGTGAATGATGATGATGGGTTCCAGTTGAGACTAAAGGTTGAGGCTATAAAAACTATAATTTGTGACAATAAAGTTATTTGGTATTATTTTCTATGTTCTGCACAATATATGGTTTGAAACAATTAAGTGTAATGTTTAGTAAAGTAGCTCTGGTGCCAACACCATATATTTATTATCCTGAAGCTAATGCTATATATTAGCTCTGGTGCTAACACCATATATTTATTATCTTGAAGCTAATGCTATATATTAGCTCTGGTGCTAATGCTATTTATTTATTAGTCTGAAGCTAACACCATATATTTATTATCTTGAAGCTAATGCTATATATTAGCTCTGGTGCTAATGCTATTTATTTATTAGCCTGGAGCTAACACCATATATTTATTAGTCTGGAGCTAACACCATATATTTATTAGTCTGGAGCTAACACCATATATTTATTAGTCTGGAGCTAACACCATATATTTATTAGTCTGGAGCTAACACCATATATTTATTAGTCTGGA